ATGCTGCCAATCGTGTTACTAAGAACGATCCAGAGATTCATAGAGTTTCTATTAAATCCAATTCAGTCAACTATTCATTCTTTTCTTATTGGAGCTCAGAATCCTGAATGTACATGTAATCTGTATGTACACACGCAGTATTCCGCAAAAGAAACCATTATCCTGGTTGTAATCTTTCGTGACCAACCCCGGATACAGCAGCTATAATCCTATTATTCAGAAAGCAGTCCAGAACATACATGTACAAATGCCGAAATCCGCTTCTTTGTCTTAGTGCTTTTCTAGATGTGACTTGCGGGCGAAAGGAAGTGCAAGCTCCATGGTATCATAGACTACCTAAACTGGCGTAGTCACAGGAACGACATGTCGTCATAGGGTCAGCAAGGCTATTTGATTGACCAACAACCCAAGCTTAACCTCTCCAAAAACTTCCCCGCAAATTCCTGAATCTCTCCCAGTTTTGCGGCTGCATTTTTCAGAAAGAACGCCCCAAACATGAGTGGTAAGTCGGTCTCTACCTACAAGCGAGCTCCGAGCCCGACACAAAAGCACTTGGAGCGGAATGTAAAAGAGAGATAACATGATTGGGGAGGAAATTGAATGTTTTGAACCGACTCGAAGTTTTTTAATGGCAGAATATGCACTCTAATGACAGAAATACAGACCTACCCCTCGACATCCCTAGACCTGAGGACGACGGCTTGTGCGACCACCTTACAGGCTTCAACCTGCTAAGCGTTCCACTCCCCTCTGCGAAAGATGACTCTGCGAAGATCGACTTGGCAAACTTAAATGGATTGACTATTGTGTTTATCTATCCGCGTACTGCAGAACCAGGCGAAGATGTCCCTCCCGAGTGGAACAGTATCCCAGGTGCCAGAGGCTGCACGCCACAAGCCTGTTCGTACCGGGACAACTTTGAGGCGCTGAAAAGCCTTGGGGTGGCTCAAGTCTTTGGTGTGTCTACTCAGAATTCGGAAGCCCAGAAGGAGCTCCGTGGAAGGGTTCATTTGCCTTATGATCTTTTGAGCGACGCTGATCTGAGGTTCGCGACCGCGGCGAGACTTCCTATCTTTGAGTGGAAACAGCGAAAGCTGATCAAGAGGGTCACTCTTGCGATTGAGAACGGAAAAGTCATCAAATATTGGTATCCTGTGTTTCCCCCGGATCAAAACGTCATAGAAGTTATGAAGTGGTTGAAAGAGTAGGCAGGCAAGGCGGCCATCTCTTCAAGTTGAGGAGTCAGGATAACTCTTATGGCTTTTCTAGCTAATTCTTGTACTGTCTATGAAAGTGATAATTGAAAAAACAGCAAAACTATGAGTCAAATCACTGCTCCAGCGTCTGTCTTGAATCGAATGAAACCATTATGCTACCATATTTTTTGCCGTGCTGACAGCCTATTCTCTACGAGAATGAAGATGAACCTTCAATGGTGGCTTCTCCCAAATCCCAAACGACTTCTGTTCCATCCAACTCGAGCTTTTATCCGCAAGCTCAATGTCGAACTTCCACAGCACTGCGGCTAAAATGAGGCGCATCTCGTGATAGGCAAGACTAATAGTGTCAGCGCTAGACCACCAATGTCTCCGAAGGATCGTGACAGGGTCAATCAAAAGCTTGGTAGATACTTACTTCTTGCCGATGCAATTTCTTGGCCCATATGAAAAGGGCTGAACAACCTCCTTGTTGTCGTTTGCATACTTCTCGGGCGGTTCAGCCAGCCATCGCTCAGGTACGAAATCATACGGATCAGCAAAATTGTAGGTTGAAGTGTAAGCTGCGTACTGCGCGACGCTTGCAGTCGTCTGTAGTCATATTAGCAATGCTGATTAATGGGGTTCAGAGAAGATGTTGTTTCTTACTCCCTCTGGGACAAATTGCCCGCAAACAGTCGACCCCCCTTGAGGAGCCACACGAGGAACCACACCCGGAGCCGGGGGATACATGCGAAGTCCCTCTTCTAAACATGCGTTGAGGTATGGAAGCCTTTGTAGGTTTATGATGTTCAGGTCCTGAAGATGAAGCGACCGGATTTCATCAGAAAGAATCTTCAACCTGTCAGGGTTTCGGCACAGAAGAAAAGTGAGCCCGCTCAACAACGTAGCTGTTGTCTCAGTCCCTGCAATCATGAATATTTGGGCGTTGGCGTACATCTCCCCCCGGGAGATGTTGTTGAGGTCAGCGTTTCGTTGAACGAGACTCCAGATATCCCCTCTGTCCTTGTCATATTGTAGACGGCGATCTACTCTGTCGTTCGAATACTTTGTATGTTTCTCCATCTCTGCCTTCAGGGAACTCGACAGTAGCGGAGCAAAGAGTTGTCCGAAGATTGGGTAGACTCGCAAGAAGGTTCCCATGACCATGTATTTGACACTCGAGAAGATGTTGCTTACCCATGGCACATAATCGCCATCTTGAAGCATACCTAATGGCTCTCCAAAGGTAAGATCGGCCATGATGTCGAAGGTAGTAAAGTTATACAACCTCACAATATCGACAATGGCCTCGTCGTGGTGTGGCTGCTCACCCTGCTGGCACGCCTTCTCTCCAAGCTTAGATACCAAGAGGTCTGTATAACCGCGGATGAGTGACTCTTGCTCTCTCAAAGCCTTTTCAGAGAAAGCATGAGAGAATATACGGCGTTGTCTTGTATGTGTTGCATCATCTGCGTGCAGGATATCAGAGTGTTCTTGATGACCCATGAGCGCCCTGTCTTTGGGGAACCCGCCACGGCCACCGACTCGGTGTCCTTGGATGTCTTTCCATGCTCTAGGGTCGATGTAGCTCAGTTGATTAGGTCCGATGCGTACTATTGGTCCGTATTCCTTGTGTAGGCGAACACCCATGCTATGCGAGCTTCCGAGACTGAAGTGCGCAAGTTGAGGAAGGCGTGAGGCCGCATATAGAATGGGCCCGGGGTACTTTCGAAGGGGGTGGAAGAAGAGTCGATAGAGGATAATCCAGGCTCTCCACAAGACTAACTGCTCAAGGTTCAACCCGTCAGTGGCCAATGAATGTTCCGTAAATAGCGAGTTATAGACGCCACTTACGAGGAGAGCAAGAGTGATAGGGGCGGAGACAAGCCCAAAGCTCAGGAGCCCTGCACTCCGTGTCATATCCGTCATCGTGTCGAGTTGTATGGTTTGGACTTTACTCGGATGTTACTTTTGTCCCAAGATTCATACTTCTCGGCCTCTTATAGCTCAGACTAACTCAGCTGTCAATGCGGTCATTGGTTGCGGAGTTGTTGCGCGGAGATAGATGGCGAATTATCCCCACCCGGCAGAGCGAACGATACGCGCGTTCGTACCCGGGACCGGAGCCGTCACAAATACCGAGAGCTACTACTCCAGGGTCCCGAATTGATATGGGAGCCATTCAGCATTGTGAATACGAACATGATGCCTTGTGGTCTCGCGTCAAGACATTTGGGAAGTGCCGAGGCGATGTCCACGCTGCCACCTTGTTATCCTAAGTAGAGGCCTCGCAATCCTTCTCTATCAGGGTTAATCCACCTTGCACACCGCGAGAGCGATTCCTGATGTTAAATGAGTCTCTCACCAAAGCAAAAGGTCATCAAGCTCGAGCCATAATCGAGTTACATACTATAAGTATCCGTGTACCTCACCAGTCTTGCTGTTTTAATGGAATGTGCTCAATATAAGCTGTCTTGTTTCGGGATCAAAATACTTCGTATAGAGCAATCAATTGGGCTTCACAAGCGAACCGTTTGCAGGAAAAAAGTATGAAAAACGTGCCCACCAAGTGTTATGCATTTCGCATTTGATCAACTGTCGGAGCATAAGAGGAAATCATCGCCATTTCCCCCCAGATCTCCCCAGACACTCAACAAGGTTCCAGCTTCGATACAACTATACATGGGCAGCGAGATGCGGAGTTTGCGTATACGTCTATTGACAACGTGCAACTTTGTTTTGCTGCATGATCGGGTCTACATGCCCGTTACACTCGATCTGGCAAAGTGCTACGCGCGGAGAATGGCCCGTGTCAGGGATCTTCAGATTCATTCACGGTGGGCCCATGACGGGTCGCCCTCTCAACAACATTCTAGCTTGGCGAAGCGTCAAACGAAGACCTGTTTGGTTGTTCAACTCAATTAGTGGGAGATTTTGAATGTTCTCAGCGAAGGTTATGGCGGCTAAGTCGCGCGTGCAGATGACTGACACGTGGGGGCTAGGCAGGTAAGCTCCGTTCCATGTTCCAGACCTCGTTCAACGATTGGAGTGAAAGTTGTATGATCATGCGCTGCCCTTAAGAGGAGCCTCAAAAAACTGCATAACGATATAGAGATAGGAGTCTACGGCTATACTTGTGTTCCTGAAGTTTTATTTGCACATGTTACAGCTAAGGAATATCATTAGATCAGTATCATACGCAATAGTTCAGTCCGTCGAGAAGTTACTGGGGCACTCCTTGGTCCTTTGGCCCCTCAAGAACACAAGGGGATGTCCTCGCTCGCCTGCCCGTTACAACAGCCGATACTGTGCCAGTACGTATGTCTGGTATTGGTTGCAAATCACCGACGCAGAGTTCGGCAGTCTTGTTGTATTAAGCAGTTTCAATTGGGGGTAAAGAGAGTTGATGCAGAGCTGCTGTGAACGGAAAGTCGTACCTGGATACGACATTTGACTGGGTTGGGTCAGACAACGGCATTTCTCGAATAAGCGTCAATAGGTAAAAGGATTGGCGAGGGTGTGACCTCTAGGCTTCAGCTGATGCTGCATGTCAGCAGGAGTTGCATATTCGTGAGCCACCATCAGCGCGCCATCTCGCAACTAACCAGCCGACCAGGCGCTACTTGCCCTGTCTAGCTTCGAAACCGCCCCCAACTTCATTCCCTCCTTACTAGTAGTTCGACTCAATGTTTGAATGAATACCGTCTACAAATACGGCGTGAATCCCCATCCTCAACCAAGCGAAACCTTCCATCTTTGCCAAATGCCCAACGAAGACCTATGCTGGAAGCAGATTTACCAATGACAGTCAGCGCCGCCCAGAAGGAGGTGTCGGAGGTGTCGGAGGCGGTGAAGAACGACAATCGCGATGTTTCCGACCTGTGGAAAGAGGCCCTCAAAGCCTACAAAGGGATCGTAGGGTTCGACCTCGAGCGTAAGTTTGATAATGTTCAGGCGATGATCGATCAAGGCACCCACGAGATGGAGAACTTTCACAAGTTTCGCCATAACGACAAGAAAGTGGACAAACTGCGAAGTTTGTTTGCTGCCAATCTCGATTACATTGAGAAGGGCGCACAGCAGCTCGTCTCGGCAGCCGTTCCAGCTTTCCCTCCGGCTGCAGCTATTGGCACCGCGGTGACCATAATGCTAAGCGTGGGTGGTCCTCTTCCTCATTTGATGTTGTGACCAAGCTCATTCGAAACCCAGGCATGCCGCCAAGTCTCGGCAGACTATGACATCGTGATGGTGTTCTTTGAAGACATGAACAGCTTTTTGCAGCGTATCACGATTCTTGAGACTAGACTCCCGAAACACAAGGGTTATCAAAACTGTCTCATGGACGTTTTCACGTCTTTTCTAGTCATGTGTGGCTTTGCGCACAAGTTCATCGAGCTAGGCCGTTTCAGTGAGTCAAGGAACAAAAGAAAACATCATCAATCACTCATTCGAAGTTTCTAATCTTTCCAATAGAGAAGTGGATCAGTAACCTTCTTCACGGCGAGGATAGCGAGTTGGGCGGCGCTCGTAAAGGCATGGATCTCAAGATTCGACGTCTCCAGCAAGCGACAGAGTTTGCAATCCTTGGCAACACGGAAGAGATCCAGAAGATGAGCACAGAGTTATTGACCAACCAAGAAACACACACTGCAATGCTGGAGAAGCAGATGCAGATCATGAACTCAATTCGTGATACCACCGAGATGATCCAAAGTGACATGGCGAAGTTGCTGAAAGCCTTCAATGAACAAAAACGCGAAGAAAAGAAGGACCGTGGCAATGACCACCGTGCCAAGGTGGCGGAGCAAAATAAGCCTCCATCTGCAAAGAGAATCCGCAACATCTTGGTTGAGGTAGAGGGTGAAGGTCATGAGTACCACGTCCTGAAGGAGACACTTGTTAAGGACACCTGCACTTGGGTGTTTTTGCAGCCCGCATGGGATGAGTGGCTGAAGCAAGGCCAAGCCGACCACTTGACTCTGGCCATCACCGGCGAACCTGGCTCTGGGAAAAGTCACATCGGGCTTACAGTCTACGAAAGGCTGCTTAATGAAGCCATGAACGACACTTCTAAGCTGACGTGTGCCGCACATTTCTACTTCCGGGAACAGTCGTCCAGTCTCTCAAACTTCTGCAACGCCATTACAACTGTCATCATCCAAGCTGTCGAACAAAATGCTTCACTCTGTGAGCTGGTCAATGCAGAGGTAATCAAGGATGGCTTCGACATGGATTCGTATGTCGCCGAATCGCTCATTCGTCAGATCTTGGTTCCCGCGTTTGGTAAAGCCTCCAAGTTCAAGCTGCTTCTTCTCTTGGACGGGCTTGATGAGCTCGATGATCTCACCGAATTTCTTAATTTTCTTAAAGTGATACGCGAGGAGAATCTGAGAATCATTGTGGCTTTTACGTCTAGGCCAGGGGTTCTTTCCAGTGTTCAGGAATTATCATCCGTGCTCGCGGTCAATGTCACGAGAGAAAACCAAAAGGAAGACTTGAGAGCGTTTATCTGGAGTCACATCAATTCCTTGTCTACCATGAGAAAGTTCGATCGCTACGTCCAACAACGTATTGCGGACAAGGTCGAGGAGATAGCCCCGAGTAAGTTCTTCTTTCGACCGAGATGTACCGTGGCATACTAACGACCTAGACTTCTTGTACGCTACGCATATGCTTGCGCGTTTTGACAACCTAGGCCGCGAAGGCGCTGTTATCCGGAACCTGGAAAAACCATTGCCTTTGGGACTTCATGGGATCTATGAAGGCTTGTTGACCGACTGCTACCGTCGAACTGAGCTCGAGCACAAGCCCATTGTGTCTAAGCTCCTTCATTGGCTGGCCTTTGCTTTCCGACCATTGACTTTCAACGAAGTAGTTTCACTAGTACGATTGTGGGTGAATAATGTCAACTTTGACCTTGAACAGGTTCCCGAACCCTTCGAAAGCTTTCTCCAGGTTGGTGATCCTGGTTCCGATGCTGAAGAGCGTGCCAAGATCCAGGCTCAGGGCGGATGGGGCACAGCAGTAAGCGAGTTGGGAAAGACGCAGACAGCTGTCGACCGTGAGGCCATCTACAACGATGGTGAGCTGCCTGTGAAGTTCAAGGAGCGCTCGATGCGATCGTTCTTCATTGAAGAACCTGACAAAACCGACATCCACGCCCACCGCATAAGGCCCTCGGAGATTCATCGGCAGATGTTTCTAGACTGCACCAAGCTTGCCTGCACTACAGGCCATTACCCATTCCCAATTTCCAGTGCCCTCAGTCGTTATGCAGTGGTTAACATTGTATCACACTGGTCTCGCATTGACTTCGAAAGTCATACGACTGAGGAACAAATAGAGGTCATGGAGGCACTAGCTTCCACTTTATCGAACAAAAAGTCGTTCGCTCGGATGATGGAGTGGACTGGGTCCACCTACTCGAGTACATTCACTGTTGAAGTTTTCGAAAGACTGTCTAGATGGAGTCAACTCCTCAGCATCCACGAAGAGGAATTAAGCGAGGATGCGGGCGAGTGGTGGAAAATTGTCTCAGAGAATCCGCGGAACTGCTTGATCTCTCTCGTCAAAGCTCACTTGCGGCAAATTTACATTTCACTTAATGTCGACACCGCCTTGGCTTCTTACCGAAGAGCGAGGGATGCCATGAAGACTGTACGTTCCACTTTTCCCTACATGAAATCTTCACTGACCCGAGTAGAGCAACTTGGACCCTATTCTTTCGCAGCAAGCCAAGAAAACCTACGAAGCTGAGATCGGAAACATAGGGGAATCCCTGACCGAGAAACAAGGTGTCCTCGGCATCGAAAGTCTCTTTGAAGACGTTAAAATTGAACCCGCAGGATACCGCGCACTTGCTTCTCTAATGTTACACTTCAAATATTTGAAGCCCGCAGAGACATTGTGTCAAAATGCCTTAGACGGTCTCTATGGGGCTCTCGACATCGTCAGAACCAGGGAGCTTATGGCCCGAATTCATTTGGAGAATGATGCACAGGCCGGTCATCGAGATATTCTCGAGTGTTTCGAAAAGATGAACGACGAAACTGTTCCGCTGTCTTTGCGCCACGCTGTGTGTATCACCAAAGCGAGGGTGGAGGCAAAGCTAGAGATGAACGAGGCAGCCGCCATCTCATATGCTCACGCAAGGTCTGTCGATCCGACAATCCTGATGACTGGGGAGATTCTGAACGAAGAACTTGATCTGTTCTCGGAGGAGAACAGCAAGAAGGGCTTCATCGGCGTTTTGAAGAGTTGGAGTCCGCTACAGCGACTTACCTGGCTCTGCTGGGAATACGATGACTACCACGACGAGAGATCACGATTGCTCCGTAATGTTGCCATCCAGTCAGGGGAAGTTGATCTTATCATCCAATTATACCTGGACTCCATTCAGTACTTGGAAAACGTCAATGCAGCCGCACCGCTGCGAATTGATCTTTCGTTACTCTATCAGCATGTAACCGGGGACATCGAGGCAGCAAGACTAGCTTTAGATGAGGTTCTCGATAGTGGTTCAACAGGCTATCCGTACGCCATCACAGACGCATCCCCCGACTACACTGTTACTCGTGCAGTTGACGGCTACAGCGAATTGCTTTATGGCATTTTCCGAAGCTCGCATGAGCCGAAGCACAAGACGGAATTGCTTACTACTATCCAAGGGCTCCTTAGCCGCCCTCTCGCCCTCGACGTACTGCCGACATCAATCACGTATCTCAATTTCCGCCTAATCGTTCTCTCTCGGATGTATCTAAAGTTGGGCCCTGTAACCAATTTTCAGGACACTCTGCAAGGTGTTTTGATCAGCTGTATCGATGCACTTAGTGACACAATCAGTTGGAATGATGCAGACAATCTAGTCTGTCTATCGAAAGCTCTTCACATTCTTGGCAATTCCATACGCAACGGCCAAGAACTACACACAATGGCGCGCACTATGTACTCTGCTGTGTTCTGTCATCTCGACCCTAAGGTCAAATTGATGGACGATGAGGCTAACGACCATTCTGACGATGACGATGGAGATGATGAAGAGTCAGATGTCGATGCGGATGAACGGCCCACCGACGAAGGGGACCTCATTGAAGGCGCTGAACTGTTCTGTGATGGAACATGCGGCCAAAAGTTCTCTTGGTGGGGGAAGAAATCCGCTTACGCCTGTATGGTCTGTCACGACGTACTCTTCTGCACAGATTGCTACAACAAGCGAGCCACGGATGGGGATGCCGGGGAGCAATATGACGCTGTTCCGGCTTGTGATAAAGAACACGATTTTCTGAAACTACCTGTCGAAGGCTGGAGAGGAGTTACAGATGGGAAAGTCCTCCTGGAGGGCAAAGGCCCGGTGGAGTTTGGTGAGCTTCTGAAACGGACGCGAGATGTTCTTTGCAAGGAGGCTTGGGAGGAGTTCTGGAGAAATTGATTCATGTACTTGTAGTCGCTAGCAACTCTCAAACATGCCATTCACTGTCTCAACCGTCAACTACGACGACGCCGCGGAAGTTTCGAAGAACAACATGAAGACCTTCTATCACACCGATACTCATTGGCGCGCGCTCTGGAAGCCAACGCCTTTGAATGAGATCATCGAGGGCGCCACGGCTCGTATGCCCCATAGACTCGCCGGCGGTAGGGAGAAGAAAAGACATCAGAAAGCCGTTGATGACGATAATGGTGAAGTTGTGGGCTACGCACGATGGATCTTACTCGGTGATGATGACCGCATTTCTTGGCCCGAAGCAGCTGTTCGCGGACTCAAACAAGATGAAGCTGATGAGTTCAGGGCAGCCTTCCAGGCCAATACCGATGGCGGTTCTATCAGTGATAAGGATGGAAAACTACAAGCTGCTCTTGGGCTTCCTCTTGAGGAGACTGAAATTGCCGCAATGCGATCGCAGGAAGGCCCATTTCTGGGTATGAACACTGTTCTCAATGACGACTCTCATATCAGCTGACTTGCAGCAGTTCTTGATTATCTTGCTGTGCATCTAGATCACAGGCGGAAGGGGATTGCTTCAGTTTCAGTGAGAAGTGGCCTAGAGCGAGCTAATGCAGTCGGGATGAAAGTTTGGGTAATGGCTACCAAGACTGCGCAGCCGATGTACGAAAAGCTGGGATTTGAGCTCGTTGATAGCGTGAAGACATCTGTCACAGAGTTCGGAATTGCAGAGCCGCACGAGAAAGCCTTCTTGATGAAACAATGGAGTTCGCCTCCACGACACTGGGCTTAGAATATTTGGGCTCAAGTGCGGGAAAGCTAAGAAACGAATGGGTATTTTTATGCGCTCTCCAGTGTCTGTGATCTCCCAAACATACGCCTCAAACGCCAAGTTGCTGCTTCATGCCCACGTATCGAATGCAGAGTTGCCGCCAATGCCCTAATCAAGATTGCACCAATTCTTTGTGGAAGTTCGGGCCTGCGATAAGCTCTTAGTAGGTGTAGCGGAAGTCCGATGCTTGGGTTTCCTGTAGTGATATACAATTTAGCAAATACTTTTAAACATATTTTGCTCGATATATCTAGACAGATGTGTTGGAGAGACAACTTACATCCGACGCTTCGAGCTCAACCTCACCACGCTCGGCCTTCGCGTTCCAATAGCGGAAGTAAAAGCTCAAAGCAAAAACAACTATGACATTTAGAACCGCGCATCCCAAACCAGTGCTCAATCCAGGCAGGTAGTGAGGCTTGTCTTGGCTTCTGTTGTTAGGTTAGTGACTCACTCGCCTCTTGAGAGAAGAATTCATTCGATATCAGGAAGGACACTAGGTAAGGCGCACACGTGGGATATAGACTAGGCCTGCAACACACGTACCTGAAAACAAGAGAGCCGGCGATGCCGCCAATCCCACTAACGCCGACTACCATGGCACTGCAAAATGCGCGCTTCCACTGTCCTCGGATGTTGTTCGCCTGATACGCCATGGTCGCCGGCACGGCGCTAACACTCCCTGCGGTGATGAGAAAGACGCCTAAGTATCGAACGGCAACATCGCTGTGGAAGCCCATCAGGCAGGTCCCAACAATCGACAAGACCATATCGCCAACAATAATGGGACCTCGAAGCATGTACCTATCTCCAAGCCAGCCCGTGGTGTAAGTGATGATTGCGGCGAACACGTACGGTGGCGCCGTCAAGATCTGAGCTTTTCCCGTGTCGAATCCCATATTGTCTTTGAGGATGATTGGCAGAAAGAAAGATAGCGCTTCACAAAAAAGGGTTAGCGAGCGGTTTAAGAAGAATTCTTGCACCACTTACAGAATATTACGAGAGCGTTGTTGAAGTAGATGATGGACAAAGCCCAGACTTTGATGTCAGCCCCGCCTGTGAGGAACTTCTTGACGCTGAAAGACGGCAATTCCGCATCTCCTCTATCGGCCTGAACTCTCGAAATCACCCAAGCAGTTTCCTCCTGGGAAAGAAAGTTCCAGACGCTCTTTTGAGCATCTGGAAACCCTACGAGTAGAAAATAGCCGACGATGCCGATAGCGCAGGTTATGACACCTTCTATGATGAAGATCCATGACCAGCCCCTGAGGTTTGCGGTCCCATCAAGTTGGGTGAGCTACGAAAAGGGTATGGTCAGACACTTACCTCACCAAATTTGAGAGGCAAATATTCAAAAACTCATGCTGAACTTAAGATGCACTTACTCCGAAAGCCAAGATTCCCGCAAATGCAGAAGCAAAGCAGACAATCATGTAGAACACCGAGTACCGTTTTCCCACTTCGTCTGAAAGGTATTAGTACAAGCTCAAGTTTTGAAACTCTAGATCTAGAAAGAACTTACAGCGAGTGTACCAAGTGCTCAGAAGGTAAACGCAGCTAGGGAAGAATCCAGAGTCGAGCGCACCAAGAATCACTCTCAAAGCCACGAGCTGACTCCAGTGCGTCAAAAAGCCCATGCCAATTACGATACCGCCGCAAATCATTGTGATGGCCGTGAAGTAGGCCCGAGGGCCCAATGTTCGCCCAAGAATGACGGAGACCGGCTGGAAAGTGATATAGGTCGTGAAGAAAACCAAGCTAACGACTGACTATAACATTTGCTTGTTAGTCATCTCAAACAACGCATCTTCTCAAAGAAATAAAGATTTGTCAGAGATTTAAACTCACGTATCGGTTGCCAGTCAACTCTAAATCTTCTCTCATACCGGCAACGACGGCGGATGGAAGGTTCGACCGGTCAATCACAGAGAAGCAGTACAGCAGCCCAACAGTTGCGACAAGACGAATGTCAACCCGTCTCATTATCCTCTTCTGCTCGACCAAAGAGAACCCATGAGTTCTCTGCTCCGTTGCTGATTCCATTACGTCGAGGTGGTTTGGTACCGAACTGCCCTGGTCAGGCGTCGTCGCTGGTTTCATGTTGTGTTCAAGTGAAGACATCGTTTAAATAATATTTTTCGTCGTCTTTGTGCTTGCGAGAGTTGTTCAGTTGCTGGTAGTGAGTGAAACGCAAACATTGTGTGAACATGTCTGCTTTATCATTGATTTCTCTTGAATTCTTTGTCCCTCCATTCACTATGTTGATATTGAACCTCGCCAAGGGTTGAGATCCTTCACCTCTCAACCCTCCGTTGATTCTCGAAACATCACGATCGCGTTTCACGACGAGGGTGCTTCGTAAAGTTTACTAAGGCATGTGAAGAAGGATGGTGAGTTGTGACGAAGCATAGTGGTGTAGTGAATTAGAAAGAGATAAGCGACGATGGCGCGCGCGCTCTGGAATTTGGAATTTGCTTGGCCATGAGCGGGCCATCCGAATGGGAGAGAAAAAACCTGACTTAGGTCATTCCCACTTTCCAGGCTAGAGGTGTTTGGTTTTCCCCGCTACCCCAACCAAGCGGCATTTAAGAGGTGCTGAAAATAGCGGTACTTGAGTGGAAAGACCTTGTTTCCTCCGTCAAAGAGAGGAAGTGGCTCATTGCTGCCCGTTGTTCGTGTATGGAGTAAATAAAGACACTGTGTTGGTTGCCTCATTGTAGCATGCCCGTGCAGGTCATATTGATCGACCAGTTAGATACAGACCCCTGGGGTCTCGAAATAACACTTCAAAGACAGAATCAAGCCACTCAAGCCTTATGCTATTCCAGGGTCGACTTAGGGCTCGAAGGATTCACTTGCGGAGACTTGTGAGGGAGTATCCAGCCCATCACAGTAAGCGACGTTCAGTGGATGTGGGGGGGGGGGCTTCATCTAAAATTGAGCGAGTCTCGATGGAAGAAAACTCCGACGGAATCCGCAGACAAGAGGAGAGTAATACATCCTCTTCAAGGAAATTCTCAAAGTCTAATTAACTACTCCGCAGGAACTGATTCTGGACGAGGAAGCATGGGATGCTGTCGTTGGCCACCTTGGTTTAGCGTCGAGATCGGGGTCTTGGATTCCCTGTGGTTATCCCGGGTATCTGCAGGCTCCGTCCGTCATGATGCAGCTCACATCCAGTCTGTCGGACTTCCACCAGCCTGGTCATAGGCTACGGCAATGTGTATCCGCCATCGATCACAACGTTTGATCCTGTCATGTAACAGCATGCATCACTGGCAAGGAAGACATAGAGCTATCGATCCAGAGACACATTAGTTCGGGCTGTCCATGTGTCATGCAATGCGGGCCCGAAGGGTTGGTCACTCACTCCTCTTAGCTCGGCAGGATGACAAACCCGGCCACCTGGGATCATTGATAGCCAATGCTCCATCAGCTCTTTCGGCTGCTTTGTCAACACTGCAGGGAACACGGTAAGCAACACTGCACGTGGGTTTGGTGTCAAATATACGACTTTGGGGAAGAAAAACAACAACTGACTCTCGGTGAGGATGTATCCAGGCGATACACAATTGACGCGCGCAAAATTGGCCCATTCGACGGAGAGACTTTTGGCAAGCTGCACGACTGCCGCCTTGGAAGCATTGTAGGCAGCCTGTTCCTGGGGTACGTTGACCAAAATAGCGCTCACGGAAGCGGTGATGACTAGGTTTCCTCTCCCTTGCTTCTTGAAGATGTTTCCCACAGCCTGCGCAGTCCACATGACGCCGTCGTAATTGACGCTGTTCATATCATGCCATGTCCGTTCCGTGTACTCGAGCGACTTAACATTTGCGCAGACGCCCGCGTTGGCCACCGCTATGTCTATGCGGCCTCCGCCGAACTCGCTGGCGATTTGATTGATGGTTTTCGCAATAGTCCCTCGGGACGTGACATCGGATCGATATGCCTGGACGCGGACGCCCGTCTCTTTTGCGATTCGGGCAGCTGTTTCGTCTGCTTTGGCGTTCATCTTGTAGATGAATGCGACGTCTGCGCCAGCCTCTGCCAACCCGCGAACGACTTCAGCACCGATACCCCTTGACCCTCCAGTCACTACCGCAATCTTCCCTTTGAGGGAGAACTGCGTAAGGATTGGAGCGTACAAGTCCTCGGGTTGATAGAGAGGCATGTTGAGATACTGCTTTTGTGACGGGTTTCAATTATTGCCGGACTACTTGGTTCACATTCTAATCATGCTTGTATTCACCATCTTGAAGGCAGTCTTATATACCGAAAAACTGTATCCAAATCTTCGAAGCCATGTGAGAGATATCGTCTCGTGAGAGCAAATGATCTTTCAGACTTGAGGTGGCTCAACACAAAGCTCCCCATCTGTTGACAGCAAGCTATGCGAAGACAAGCATGGGTCAAGATTGTGGCCATACAATTCCACGCTATCGATGACCCTGCTTCCGGAGACTCGACAGCCATAGCAGCACTGCCCAGCAACCGAGTGCTCGTCTCGAGGGAAGCCATGGGCACTGCTAGGCCTCCCACCGGTCGTCTCGAGCTAGGATGTTTGAGAGATTGAATGGCATGATCTGCTGCGTGATACCAACCCATTTGACGTCCCCATGGGGTTTCCCCGCGTTGGTCCAAGGTAGTCCGGTTCTTGGGTTGGACTACGTCACTTTTGATCGATTAGATCAGTCCGAGCAGACTAGGACGAGTTCCGAGTTGAAGAGTAATATCTTGTATAACTAGAAAAAGACACTCTGACTTCTGACTTGTAACATAAAGTATGTTGTTATTCGACTCAGAGTAGGACTCAACGGAAAGTCTTGCATCATTTTGTTTCACAATCGCTACGATGGACCAACGTCACAAATGGATGGTGACGGCGAAGTTCGAGAAGCGAGCGCTTCTCATTGCTGTCAACGCCCTTGCCGGAATGTCAATCTTCTTCTTTGGTTCGTCTGACCACTTCAACTCGTCCATACATCAAAAGTATGTGCCTGATATGATTTAAAACGCTAACAAACTCGATGTCCAGGTTATGATCAAGGAATGATGGGCGGTGTAAACAACGCCAAACACTACATCGACCTAATGAAATTTGGATATGTCGACGCCGATGGCACTCCGGTCGTGACCGACACTCTGCTTCAAGGCGGCATCATGTCTGTCTTCTATCTCGGCACCCTGATCGGCTGTATGGTTGGAGGATCCATCGGCGACCGATTTGGCAGAATCAAGACCATTGCCATTGGTGCTCTTTGTGGTATCTTCGGCGCGTCTTTGCAGTGTACCGCTATGAACTCGAACTGGATGATCTGCGCTCGTCTTCTCAATGGAATTGGTACGGGCATCTTGAACGGCATCGTGCCTGTCTGGGCATCGGAGCTCGCAGATTACACCTCTCGAGGTGCCTTCATCGCCATGGAGTTTACCCTGAACATCTTTGGTGTTGTCGTTGCCTATTGGCTTGGGTAAGATTCAACTAGCAGATTGAAAAGTTGGAACATGAAACTAATCAAGTTGTTCGACCCAGATATGCTGTCAGCTTCATCGATAATGGCGAGTCTGCTTTCCGATGGCGCTTCCCCATTGCCTTCCAGATTATTCCGCTACTTTTCTTGCTATTCGGATGCTTCCTATTCCCCGAGTCACCTCGCTGGCTTTGCAAGGTCGGACGAGACGATGAATCCCTCTACATTCTGCAACGGCTCCGAGGCACCCATGACGGTATCGCCGAGGCGGAACTTGCGGACATCAAGGATGTGGTCAGACTTGAACAATCGGCCGAGGGAACCAAGTACCACCACATGCTCTTTGGTCTCAAGTGTGGAAAACTCCACACAGGCCGAAGAGTGCAACTTGTTATTTGGCTGCAAATCATCCAATGCTGGACAGGTATCGCTGGTATCACCATGTACGGCCCAAGTAAGTCATCAACCCATTTCGATCCGTTCTTACTGTCGGGAACCCCCTAGCTAACCAGAACCTCGAATAGCCATCTTCCACATCGCCGGTTTCGGTCCATCTAAAGCTCTCTGGATCTCTGGTCTGAACAACATCTTCTACATGTTCGCCACGCTCATCTGCGTCTTCACCATTGACAGGATTGGAAGACGTTGGACATTGTATTGGGGCTCGGTTGCTCAAGGCATTGCCATGTTCCTTGTCGGTGGCCTGTCCCGCGGCGGTCTGAATGCCAGAGCTGTTGGAAATGACGACGTTGCCAACTCCTGGGGAGCCGCAGCCGCTACAATGGTTTTCCTTTAGTAAGTCATCTCGACACATATTTTATACTCTGTGAATCACTGACGCTTTCGAAGCACGTTTGTGTTTGGCGCAACCTGGCTCACCGTGCCTTGGTTGTACCCGGCGGAGATCTTCCCGTTGCAGGTTCGAGCCAAAGGTAACGCCTGGGGCGTCGTTGGATGGAGTATTGGCAATGGGTAAGACGCCCAAGTCTCTACGTATTGTGGCCCAAGACATGTCGCTAACTCCACACTAACCCAGTACTTTGACACTTGTTCTTCCGTACATCATTGGAGCCATCAATGAGAATGCGATGTACATCTTCGCGGCCATCAACGTCATTAGTATTCCAATCGGTAAGTTGACAAGCTCTTCACCCCAATTGTCTATTCCGTCTTTCTAACTATTGGCAGTATGGGCTTTGTACCCAGAGTCGAATCAAAGAACTCTTGAGGAAATCGATTTCCTCTTCGCCGCAGACTCGCCCTGGACGTGGGATGCGGAGAAGAAGTTCAAAGAGCTCAAAGCCGAGCACGAAAGTCGTGTTGGTGCCGTTCGAGCAGCTGTCAGGGGAGATCTAGAGAGCAAGGGAGAGAACTCCAGCACCCATGTTGAGAAGTCGTCTGGTTCAGAGATTCAATGATTCAGGCATCGTCCTATGCGGTTTTCGATCTCTCCAACTTGACTCAAAAGAGGGGTTGCAGGAGAATAAGTGGAGTGTGGAACAGGCTTGCAAGAGTGTCTGGAGGTCAAAGGAGAACTGTCGGACATTCTCGATTCATAGCTCTAGCGCCAATGGCCAATATGCATTATTATGTCGAATCTATCTGCGTCTCATATTATTTCGACGATGAAGAGAGAAGGCTTCTCGGAAAGCTGATCGCTTGCAAACACTGAACACTTCTCTTTTTTTTTTCTTGCCCTTGGCTGAGATTTCCCTTGGCCATCCAAGAATAAACAGCCAGCAGTTCGTTAGTTCCCGTGACACCAACCTCATGCCATGAACCTGTTGCCATGATAATCTCCGCATACCATGTAGAGTTCGGATATATGAGCCTTACATCTGACCATACCGCGGTGCATTAGCTTGAAGTTTCTCACACTGGTCCTTGATTCCTGTAGGTGCCAAGGCAACACAAGTAAGGTAAGCGACTGAAGCGAATCAAGCCAAAACAAGTTATTCGATAAACCACCTGACTTGTTACCAATAGTATACCAATTAAGTTCTGAACTTACTAGCCCTGCCCGAACGATACTGGCGTGGGTCGACCTGAAAACGTGGTACCCTCCCTGACACGAGTCTTTCAGGTCCACTTTCATGCAGCCTCAATTCCCTCGAGACGAGGGTGCGGGGTAAGATAGCTGTTTAGATGTGAACATTCCGATCCGGAGCAAGTCAAAGCGCGGAGGATGAGGCTAAGCGAGGTGAGTGATGTGGGCAAAGTCAACAAGATTGTACCGCAGCGGGCTGAACCCCGGCTTGTATGATTTAGCCAAAATTATTTCCATTAACTGCTGGTCACGCTGTTGAAGATTGAGATCGAAAATCGTTACATTCGCGCGTTGAATCAAAAATGGCTTCATCAAGCTGGCGGCTGCTGAAAGGCAGAACAGCTTGCATCACCGGAGGTACAACTGGCATTGGCCGTGCGATAACACTCGAATACTTGAGACACGGCGCCAACGTCGCAGTCAACCACCTCGGCCTCCCTAGCGACGAAACACACAGACTCAGCCTGATCGAGGAGGCGGAAAAGATCAGGAAAAATGCCCCCAAAGATTCTCCGACGGGCGAGTTGATTGAGCTTGCAGGCGATGTGACAGACCCAAATACCGGAAAGGGTCTCGTTGCCGCAGCAGTAAAGAAATGGGGCGGACTGGATGTCTTCATTGCGAACGCTGGTATCTTCAAGCCCGCTGAGTTTCTCACGTATGTTCTTTTGGTGTTCCACGACAGAATTTCTAGAGTTAATAACGCTAACGAAATTGCAAACAGACTCGAAAAGGAAGTATTCGATAAAACACTACACGTCAACGTCAATGGCGCATTCTACTCATGCCAGGCAGCGGCGAACCAGATGGTCAAGCAAGGACGCGGAGGATCAATCATTGGTATCTCATCAATCAGCGCTCTGCAAGGTGGAGGTTTGCAGACTCACTACACACCGACAAAGGCAGCGGTCTTGTCAATGATCCAGTCAATGGCAGTCGCTCTCGCAAAGCACCGCATCAGATGCAATGCTTTGCTTCCGGGCACCATCCATACACAGTTGGCGGAGGAGGACATGCAAAATGAGACGAAGCGCAAGTATCTTGAGCAACGTATTCCCATGGGCGTGGGCAAGCCCCATGACCTGGCTGGGCCGGCGGTCTTCTTGGGTTGTGAGGAATTAAGCGGATTCATGACGGGTTCCCAGATGTTAGTGGATGGTGGCATGTACGTTCATTTGCAGTAGATTTTAGACATAGTTCTCGACGTTCGGTACAGAAGCTCAATGTGGCACATTCTACGAAGAACACTTTGTACCATGGAACCAAAAGAAAAGTAAAATAAAAACAAATAAACCCATAGAATCGCCAAATCCCAGCCCTTCCCCAAGCGTGCAAAGCACCAGACTACTGTCCATCCCACCGGGCCCCAGTCGGAGACCGGCGGCTCCACACCGGGCGCGCCGAGCCGGAGCCGTCTCCAACCTTTTAGCGGGGCACTCCAGGTTACCCCGCACGGGCATCTGCCCCGTGCCCACGTAGTACGTACTGTACAGTACGGTTACTTCTCCAACCAGTCGCGACTCTTCGCAACTCCAAGTGCCAGTGTTCCCTGTCGCTTCCACCTTCCTCTTCCTAATAGCACCACACGACTCGACTCTGCATGTCGTTGCCCGACATCCTGTGACAGTAGCCACACATCAAATCCATCTCCCATCTACAATCCACTTGTTCAGGTTCAATGGCATAAATATCATCAAGATGGGCGCTGATGATGAGGATCCACAACCCTACTTCACCCGTGGCCGCCTCAGTCGTGGCCGCGGCCTCAGAAACAGTACCGGCTGGTGAGTATTATCCCTGCCCTAGATCTGGAGAAAACTCTTCGTAAGCTGTCTCAAATCTGACAATTGCTTCCCGCAGTGCAACATGTCGCCGCCGTCATGTCAAGTGCGACGAGAGAAAACCGATATGCGGTGGATGTGAGAGAACTAAACACAATTGTCTTTACACACCAAGGCGGCCACCAAACAGAAAACGGTCCGGTCCTGTTGTATCAGTCACCCCGAACAGTGGTACTCCGAAGTCCATGACTCCTCGAGAGCCTCAATCGCCTCGGTCTCCCAGTCCGCCAAACTCCGAGTGTCAGCCCGTCATCTGTGATGACGAAGCAGCTCCTCTACCGGCAGTAACGCTTGGAGAACAACAAACATCAAGCATTGCGAGCGCTACCACAATAGCACCGTCTAATGACGAAGGGATAGATACGTCCAATCACGCCAGTACGGGCGATAGACCAGCTTTCGAGCAAGACTCCCCAGAGCAAGTCGACGCGTTATGCACAGGTATCACACCACGAGGCACAGCACAAACGTCCAGCTCATTCGGGGCGAACCTGGAGAATGCCACGGCCATTTGGGTCGATCTGCTTCTCCAAGATGCGGCTATGCAAGAAATCGATTTCACCAATGTCAACTTTGAAGAAGGCGTCGATCCCTTTGCAAGCTCGGTCGTGCAATCACCTGCTGTGGGGCGGGGTTTACCCAAGACCAGTGGAGAAGGCCTTAGTCCTACGCCATGCGCCTCGCATCCCTACTTGCATGAGAGATCTCCGACGTTCGATGAATACCAATGCCTCGAGAAACAGGCTTGGCGATCGGCAACGCCTCTACTGATCCAGGCGCAGGAACATGTTGTTTTTCAAAACTTTGTGCAACACATTAGTAGATGGGTAAGCTGCGAAAGTATCTCCTCGGAAAATGCTTTAAGTAACAATTCCTATTGGTATTAGATGGACCTATTCGAACCTAGACGTCCGTTTGGAACGCTCGTTCCTCAACTTGCAGTACGTCATCTGTTCGTCACCTGTTACATTTTTTGAAGTAGAAGTTGAAGGCAATTTGCTGACGAGCTTCTGTTGCATGCTGTAGATGCATAATGTAGGGCTGCTCAATGCCGTCCTCGCTCTGTCTGCACGTCACCTCTCTTTGAGTACGCACTCAGACGGCACACAGACCCGAGACCCCAACGACGCACTACGATACTATTACAAGACCCTACACTATATCCAAGAGGCAATGCAATACGACACATACAAAACGAGTCTCGAACTCCTCGCGACCAGCATCACTGTATCAGCATACGAAATGCTCGATGGCTCGAGACAAGATTGGGAAAGACATCTGAAAGGAGTATTCTGGATCCAACGCTCGCAAGTCATACACGGCGATTCTATGGGTTTGAAACAAGCTGTCTGGTGGGCATGGCTATGCCAGGATGTGTGGGCTGCCTTTCGTGAGAAGCGTCGTCCTTTCACATTCTGGCGGCCACTGAAGACATTAGACGATTTAGGCCCGTCTGAGTTGGCTGCGCGGTCAGTCTACTTCTTCGCCCAAGTGGTCGCATTCTGCTCGTATGAAGAGACCGAAGCAGGAAAGAATGATCCTCACGCGAGAATCGCGGCGGCGGATGCCTTAAGAGAAATGCTGGAAAACTGGAGGCGGCACCTAACGGCCGAGTTTCAACCACTCCCGTACCCGAGTTCTCCTGATGACATCTTCGAGCCAATCTGGATCAATCCTCCGGCGTTTGGTAAGCCCACCTCTTCAGATGTTCGTGGGCAATCATAATGACCATTCACAGCGGTAGCTTTCCAGATCTACTATTGCTCTCACATCCTGCTCCTAATGAATGTACCTGTTCTAGGCGGACTTGAACAGTATACGCAGCAGCGGAAGCGTCTGATGGAGTGCGTCAAGAAAGTTTGCGGTATCGGCATGACACTGTCAGACTATCCATCGAGTGTTTTGTGCTCTCAGTGTCTATTCATTGGTACGTCTTCCCTTCCGCTGCAGGAAACCAACTCTGATCCACCGAAGCCGGCATACCCCTCGAGAGCAGCAGAGAGCGGAAATGCGTTCTAAATCTGCTAGAAGCCTGTCACGCTCGATCAGGCTGGCCCGTGAAGCCGCTCGGCGAGGAGTTGAAGCTCCGATGGGAAGCTTCCGATGCTTAATAATACCCAGAATCAACTTCTATTCATGCCTGTCCCGCTGAGCCACAAGTTTCCATCCACTCCTTCGTCTGCCGGATGACGTTGCTCGTGCCCTCCTCAATAAGCGTAGTATGCGGCAATCGCGTGACCTGCGACCGGAGATGGGTATAATAGTCGTCCAGAACAAGCCGATTGACGTTTATCTTTGTCGCGCCCGCAGCAATGCACTTCTTCATCAGGTCTGGAGGGAATCCGTTTGTACCGTGCAGAGCAACCCTGACTCTGCCGGCAATCTGGGCGCGTATCTTTTCAAATCTGCAAACCTCGTAATCAGCGTCCTTGTTCGGGAGGGATCTTTATCAAGAAATCATATCCTGCGCGTCGAACGACCGTTACATGTACGTACCGTTCAAAGTCCAGTTGCGGACCCAACTTTCCGTATTCGCCGTGTACGTTGCCAAACGCTGGGGCGAGGGAATCCACACCCGTGGCGATGAACTCGTCAACTTCCTCGGTGGTAGTCTTACTAGCCTCCAATCCGGCCGTGTCCATAACGCCGTCTTCGGCACCTTCTATCCTCCCAGGCTCGGCCTCGGTGGCAATCTTGCGTTGGTGGCAATACTTGACCCATTTGGCCGTTTTTTCCAGGTTCTCCGCCTTTTCGTAGTGGGACATGTCGACCATGATGCTATCGAACGGTAGGTTGTCGGCTGCATACTGGATAATCTTCTCGTCCTGCGCATGGTCGAGGTGGATCGAAATTGGGACAGATACTCGGGACACTGCTTCTTTGGCGGTGCGGACGAGCAAACCGTCGGCAAAGGTGACCGCCCAAGGGAAGAATTGAATAATTAGAGGCGAGCGGGCTTCTTCGGCTGCGGTGACGAGGCCGTGGATCTGCTCGAGGTTATATGCAATGGCGGCAATGACCCCGTAACGGCCCTTTTCGGCTTTGGTCAGGATTTGGATTGTCCTGTTCTCATCTTTCCAGTTTGCCGACACAATCATTTTTACAATAAGATGCGTTCTTCGAACTCCGCTTAATGAGACTGTCTTATGGAACAATCACAAAGTTCCAGACCAGACCGGTCCAGACGTTGAAAGTTTGCCGTGTATTTCAATCATATCTATGGGCTGGTGAACACGGTGATGATGTGTAATTGTGTTTGCAGCTGTATGTCAGAGGCGCGCTGCGGGCTTGCTGTGGGGTCAGCGTCGTCTCGAGGGAAAGTTTGGACCTCGGCCCCCGGCACGATCTGATCTGGAGGCGGAATGGGCGATCTTAGTTTCGCGGGGTGTACTCCGTAGGTGGGCTTGTGGGTTCCGTGGCTTCTCGGCTTGAACTTTCTGTCTAGTAATCAGGTCATTCAATAAGCAGGCTCGCATACGAGTCTTGATCGAGGGGCAAACCTCGGGCCTGGCGAAATAAGCCCCTTCATTCATTCTTCAGTATAGAGCACTGCTTGCCATTACAACCCACGGCTCATAATGTCAGCCAACGCAGAAAAGTTCAATTCATGGCAAATTCATGACGAATCATTTCGAGAAATCATTGGTTCGAGCCCTTCGCTGGATCTTTTACTCCAAGTCGACTCTTACCCTTTCGCTCACGAGGCCGGCGTTTTCATCCCTTCAAGCGATGAACTATTCATCACGAGCAACCAGTTCGCGGATAAAGATGGCTCTAGAAAAGTCCAGATTTCCAGAATATCGTTGCCCAGCGGTGGGAAAACTGTAAAGCATGAAGAGATCTCAAGTCCAGATATCGCGATGGGCAACGGTGGCGTCAACTATGGCGACGACATTCTCTTCTGTGCCCAAGGCTCAATGACACGACCTAGCGGTCTATTCAAGATGTCAAGAACACCGCCATATGCGACTGAACCTGTCATCATTTCTTTCCATTCTCGGCCATTCAACTCTGTCAACGATGTTGTCGTTAGCAAAGATGGAAGCATTTGGTTCACTGATCCGCCCTATGGTCACGAGCAAGGCTACCGCCCTCCTGCGACCCTGCCTAGCCAAGTCTATCGCTTTGATCCGGCGACGTCTTCGATCCGGGCCATGGCGGACGGTTTCGGCAGACCAAATGGAATTTGTTTCTCGCCTGACGAGACTACCGTCTATGTAACAGACACGGATCTTGTTCACGGCGATGGTACACTAGACGGCAATCGGGTTTCGACCATGTGAGTTATTCGATACAGATTTGTTTCCAAAAAGTTACCACTCTCAGCTCGCGGACTAACAACACAGATACGCTTTCGACGTAGAACAGCGCCACGGACAGCCCGCGTTGCTGAACAGGAGACTATTCGCATCCGCCGACGTCGGTATACCAGACGGAATTAAGTGCGATACGAACGGAAATGTCTACAGCGGATGCGGGGACGGTGTGAACGTTTGGTCTCCTGGCGGTGTCCTACTTGGTCGTATCCTCATCGACGGTGGTGCCGCCAACTTTTGTTTCGGACGCGGGGGCGAGATCTTCATACTTAACGAGCATCGTCTCTGGAGAGCACAGTTGAGCAAGTCGGTCAAGGGTGCACTTCTAGGGATTTGAGATGTTTGACCGGGATTAGGTGCTTTGGTGTAAGCTGCTGTGGCTGCATCGCGGTCAGTCACCTGAAAATGAGAGACGCATCGGGAACGACGTCTTGTGGCGTGCAATGTGGCACACTTTTTGCTATGTGGAATTCCGCCAAACGCGGGTTAGCTACTACATGCATGAGTGTTGATATTGAATGCTAGTGCCAATTCAAGTCCGCAAAGCAAACGCCTCTGCCATTCTGTCATGCATTCGGTTTGATCGTACTTTGCCCATTGGATCTCATCAAGTGACATGCTGTTCCTGTGCAACCATGCGGAAAGAGGTGATGAACTCCCCCATGTAGCCAGTCAAAATTTACAAACAGGATAGGCTTTTGCACATTTGACTTTGCTCAATGCCGATTGGTGAGATGCGCAAGCATTAATCTGTTGAAGAACGATGTCTTTTCCCGTCTCATCAGCAAAGGGATTCGCTTCTTTTACCAGAACGCAAGATATCGGAACATGTCCGTACGCTCTCAATCCCGCAACTATCCGCCGCTCCAACCCCTCTCTATCTTGGCTCTTTTTTTTATCGTCCGGCGTCGCATTCTACCGTGGCGAATGATCAACTGCCGTTGGTTCAGACACCGGTCGATAGCGCAAGTACAGGGGCGCTGATCCTCGCGAACGCATGCACCCCGCAGGCCACGTCTGGCAGGTCGGGTTGTTTTGGAGAGAGGGGAGCTCCGAGCCGGGAGAGCATGCGGGGGTGATACCGGATAAGTCTGGCATGGGACGATCGACCCCCTTCTGTTAGACGGACGTGATAGCGCAACGTTGATCTGGGAGAATGCAACGTTGTTGGATGGACAATGTAGTGCAAGTGCAGCCCGGTTGGGATGAGGAGATAGGTGCGCGCACCTCGTTCCGTTTGGAGATATGTTTCCCCCATGTTGGACGACCTATCTTCTCGCCCGATAGCTGGGCCGAGACCCGACTCCCCCGCCTTCCGCCCGCCACACAACTCTAAGTTGGACGATGATTGCAGAGGTATATAGCCTCGGTGACTTCCCTAGAAGATATCGCAAGAGATGAACGTTTGTTCCCAAGCGTCTTCATAGTCTTTCGACGAATAAATCTTCCAACGGACCCGGCAGTACACGACGTCGATTCCACGTGTAACAATGTCCGGAAAGGTGGAGACTGTCGGAGAGGAGCCGACCCCGGCCCGGGATGAGGATATCGAAAAGATCCCCGCACGGGTGGACAACCCGGAGCAAAAGATCTCGGACCAGATATCCCACGAGAAGCTCGAGGAGCTGGCGCCCAATGGAGAAGGAGAGTACATTCTGGAGAAGATCAACGAAATGACGGAAGAAGATGCCCTAGAAATCATTGAAGAATCCGTCGAGTTCTTCAAGGACGACTGGAACTTCCCCTCTGATATGAGAGAGAGAATGAAGAAGCTGCTCGAGGGGCCAAAACAGTATGGAGAGAACTACGACCGCGACTTGAGAATTGATGCTGTCATGATCCGCTTCTCCTCGCCCTACCCTGGCGTTCGCGCCGTGGCTGAGATCCTGGACGACCAGAGCGTGCCTATTGAGACGTTCCGCGCATACTTCCTGGGTATAGGCTGGGCTATCATCGGAACTTTTATCTCGACGTTCTTCAACTCAAGGTTCCCCGCCATCAGTGAGTACCAAACCTAGTCCCTCGCCTCACACGTTTGTCCTCGAAATTCTTGCTAAAGGTTTGTGCAGGCTTAAGTGGCCAAGTTATCCAGATCCTACTGTTCCCATGCGCCAAGGTCCTCGAGTTCGTTCTCCCCGACTGGGGCATCACCGTCCGCGGCACGCGGCACTCCCTTAACCCAGGGCCGTGGAACTTCAAGGAGCAAATGTTTGCGACCATCACGTACAACATTGCCATTTACACCACCAACAGCTACGGCATGATCCTGGTGCAGAAGTCGCCAGTCTACTACGGTCTCGATTTCGTCAACTTTGGCTACCAGCTGATGCTCACTCTCTTTGTGCAACTCATGGGTATGGGATTCGCCGGATACCTCCGCCGGTTCAGCGTGTACCCCGTCAAGGCCCTCTGGCCGACTATCCTACCGACAATTGCCATGAACAGAGCGCTCACCAGGCCGGAGCCCAGGGAAAACATCAACGGGTGGACAATTTCGCGGTACAAATTCTTCTACGTCGTGACCATCTGCATGTTTTTCTACTACTGGTTCCCGGGCTACATCTTCACGGCTTTGGCTACGTTCAACTGGATGACCTGGATCTCGCCCCAGAATGTAACGCTGGCAATCATCACAGGATCCTCGCTGGGTCTTGGCTTGTTCAACCCCATCACCACATTTGACTGGAACATTGCGACGTCATCTTATGCTGCTTTGGCACAACCGTTCTTCGCGACGTGTACAATGTACATTGGTGCCATTCTGGGCGGTGTCATAATCATTGGCATCTACTACACCAATATGTACAACACGGCGTATCTCCCAATCAACTCGTCATCTGCATTCGCCAACGACGGCACCCCGTATGTGGTGCAGAATGTGGTTTTTAACAACCAACTCAACGAGACTGCTTATCAGGAATACTCACCCCCATTTTACTCAGCTGGCTATCTCCTCACCGTCGGAGCCAACTACTGTTTCTATCCAATCTACTTTTTGTACATCATGGGGTCCGTACTACGGGATGCTCGCAGCTATACTCAATGACTAACATGAATCACAGAAACCAATGGAAAACAATCTCCCAAGCATACATCGACTTTTACAAAGGCCTTCGCCACGGAAAGGGCAACTACGAAGGTGCAATGGACGTCCACAGCAGACTCCTCGCAAAGTACCCCGAGGTCCCAGACTGGTGGTTCCTCATCATCCTCGTCGCCGCCATCGTCGTCTCCGTCATCTTCCTCAACATCTACCCGCTCGGCACCCCCGTCTGGATCGTCTTCCTCATGATCGCCATCAACCTCGTCTTCGCCGTACCCCTCTCCTTCCTCTCCGCCACGACGGGCACGAACCTCGGTCTCGGCGCGCTCATCCAGGTCATCACGGGCTACCTCCTCCCCGGCAACACCAACGCCTTCCTCTTCTCCCAGACGCTGGGGTCGTGGGCGCTCGCGGGCTACGGCGACAATTACGTCCAGGACCAGAAGATGGCGCACTATGCCAAGATTGCACCGCGCGCGGTGTTCCGGAGCCAGATTGGGACGATCATCATTACTTGCTTCGTCGCTGTGGCTACGCAAAACTTCATCTTGGAGAATGTCAAGGGGTTGTGTACCCCGACGCAGCCTAGTCGGTTCACTTGCGCCAACGATGGTGCTCCTCTTTACACGAACAGCTTGATGTGGGGTCTTCTTGGCTCGGAGCGCATGTTTGTGTCTTTCTATCCTATCCTCAAATGTGAGTTCTAGATTCGCAGGAGTGTAATGATGATTTTATATACGGATACTAACCGTCGAACAGGGTGCTTCCTCTTTGGAACGCTCATCGCCATTGTATTCTTGGTCGGCCAAGGCTACGGACCCAAATATCTCCCCGGCGTTCGAGAAAAGCTACGACTCAAGCTGAGTCCAAAGACATTTGCTCGTCTGGACAAGACTCTCTTCCCCTTTGTGGCCTCTTTGCTGTGGCTCAACCCGGTACTCGTTATTCAAGGCATCCAACATTGGGCACCGTCAAATTTATCGTACAAAACGCCTGGCTTCATTCTCGGATACATCTTCATGTACTGGCTGCCTAGACATCGTCTGGCCTGGTGGGAAAAGTATAACTACGTCCTATCAGCTGCCTTGACCGCCGGAGTCGCCGTTTCAGCGCTGGTCATGTTCTTCGCTGTGGGATATAACCCCATTGCCTTCAAATGGTGGGGGAACACGGTGAGCGGTGCAGGAGTTGACGGATCTCAGATCGGAATTCTTCCCATTCCTGAGAGAGGGTACTTTGGGCCTGAGAAGGGTAGTTTCCCTACATAGTACCGAGATTCTCGGGTATGGAGGAGCTCAGTGAAAGGTGCGAAAACGGTCACTACCCGTCAACTTGATGAAAAAGAAGATAGCGGGACAGCCGGGCAGCAAGAAATGGGGCCGAAGCCCGGTGCGGGGCGTTCGTCACGGGGCTCAATGCAGTTCGGCCGCCAATGTTTGACATTGATGGCCCCCTGAACCTTGACAATGTACCAAACATTATTCCACGAATATCCACTCATCTTGATATGGTTGCAACTTGAACGGAGCCATGGTGAGAACAGTTGACGAGACATAATCATGACGCTTTTGGTGCTATGTAAATGTGTTTAATCAAGTATGGACATGAAAGTTGACCGCTAAAATAGGTCGAAACATGAACGAAATGTGCTTAGCCTCGATCCGAATGAGAACGCCGTTTCTATCCGCAGCAACGCGGTATGCAATGAACCTCCCAGCCCGACATTTCTGGCTTTTATGATACGCTTATCGCACTATTTTTACTGCTTGTCGAAGAGGAACACGTTCTGCTCGAGCTGGCGGAGGTTGAGCTGCAACTAGTTAGTCCTGTTTCTTCCCGAATAGACTTTACTCGACTTACAAAGCTGGTGCTGATGTTGTGAACATCAGTCGCACCCATCTGGGCTCCATCACGGACAATCTCAGTCTTCATGATGTTGATGGCCTTGGTGACACCCTGGAGACCGTAGCAGTTGGCGTACATGAAGGGACGTCCCATACCGACGGCCTTGACGCCGAGGGCAAGAAGCTTCAAGACGTCGTTACCGTAGCGGACACCGCTGTCGGCGATAACGTCAACCTTCTGGAACACCTCGGGGGCGTTGCGGTAGATCTCGTAGGCGATCTCTAGAGGGCCGGGGGTGTGATCGAGCTGGCGGCCGCCGTGGTTAGAGATGTAGATAGCCTTGGCGCCCTTCTCAACAGCAAGGAGGGCCTCCTCGGCGGTGGTGATGCCCTTCAGAATGATGGGCAGGGAGGTCTGGTTCTTCATCTGGTCGTAGATGTCCCAGGTCAGAGCAGAGGAGACAGAGTTGGCGTTGGTAGTGTCGTAGCGGGCAGCACGGTGACGGACGGAGTCACCGGGAGCGTCAATGGTCCAAACGATGGCCTTGGCACCGGTGCGCTCGGCACGTCGGATGTTCTCCCAGGTGACGGAGAGGTTGGCGTTGGTGTAGATCTGCTGGAAGATGACCTGGGGTCCGTTGAGGGTACCGTTGACCTTGCCGGTGGCGATCTCCTCGATGGACTTGGAGGCGTACATGGACGGGATGTACAGGATGTTCTCGTTACCGGCGGCGCGGACGAGGTTCAGCTCGGCGTCCGGGTCTCCGTAGACGGCGCGGGCGGCGGGCGCGATGAAGAGCGGTGCGCTGAAGTTATAGCCGAGAATAGTGGTGGCCATGGTCTCGTTGAGCTTGGTGACGTCGCTCAGGTGCTTGGAGCGGAGCTGGACCTTTTGCCAGACGTCTAGGTTGTGGCGGTAGCTGTACTCGCCGGCGGTGCCGGTGCGGTAGAAGGAGTACTTTTGGTTGTCGAGGTGTTGGCGGGCGGCCCAGTCGAAGTCGGGGATAGCGCGGATGTCCTTGAGGAGGGGGAGTGATCCCTTGGTGTAGTTTGTGCTGTCAAGGTAGGTCTCGAAGCCGGTGTCGACCTCGTTGACCCAAGGCTCGCCGGCCATAGCTACAGCCAGGAGCTGCGTAGCGATGACGAAGGACTTCATCTTGTGCGGTGCGTAATGAACGTGGAAAAAAGAGTGAATGGATGGAAGTGAGTGACGACTCGTGCCAAGCAACGTAGAATTTCTACTTAAGAAAACACGGCGATCCCAAAGAACTTATACGTCTGCCATTTCGCTCGGTATCCGCCAGCAACCCCCCTCCCCCTGATCACGATGATCTCCATCCTGCTTACACCGCTGACCTTGTCGGAGCATTCTATCCCCGGCGGTCTCAGGGTTGTGCCGCATGGGCTTCAGGAACCAAACGGTACTGGTTCATCTCATGTCTTGGGAAAAACAAACATGTTGGGTCTTGGTCCGAGTCAACCGCCAAGTTGGAGACTGGGGCCTCCCTTGCTGCACGAGTCGAGAGGAGACGAGAGGAGCCCGCCTACTGGTTGGACACGATCTAATCTAATCAACTCGACGGATCCCAACTTTCTGGATTCCTTGGCTGAGGCACCCCTTCTCCGTGGGGGGCCATCGTCAGTCATCCTGACTAATTGTGGACGTTCTGGATCCCAAGGGCAACCGAGCCGCACGCGAAGGTCTCGACTTGCCTAAACGGGATGGTTTTGGCGATACTTTTGACCCTCTCATGGATGTCTTATCCACCATCGTCGGATCACCGGCGCATCGGCCTCTACTTTAAAAGGAGTCACCTCATAGAGATTCAATTCTCCGCGAGGCTGTCTGTTCAGGACCATCTTGTCTGGGGATTGCAAAAGTACCGCGGTGAGGGGAGAGTCTCTACCGTGGGACACAGGAATTCCTAATAGATAACCAAAATTACGCATGCCGAGACCTGTCAAGAGACCTGCCCGAGAAAGCAGGTTGATCGCAATCGGATCCGGTCCTCCGAAGTCTTGGCTCGGACCAAGACTCCATGTCCAGCGGATACGAATATAGACGACATCGTCTGCGTGTATGCGCCTGTCGGTTATGTTTCTTCTTTGGCACTGGCCTGGTTCATGCGCGGTTTCTGACCCAATGTAACGGAAACTCCGCCATTGTGGATATGCTTCTGGTATGTTTTGTCGGACTTTTTGAGCAGAGTTTGGACGAACAGGAAAACGAGAGTCCCTGGTCCCAAGTCCCAAAGAGATGAAATTAGGTTCTCGGCTCTAGGAGAAGAAGTGGGCCGTTGTCGAAATAGAGTGAAGGATCTCTTGTCGATTCAGAGCTTGGCGCGGATGCAGATTACTTCCCTGCTAAACCGCTGAGTCGGGCTTAATGGTTTGAGTTATTATTCCCCGGGGGGTTTAACGGGTCTTGAGGAGAAAATCCGCCTTCGTCATTGGGGCTCCGGAGTCCTCCAGCTCTGCGTGAAGTCTACAAACTTTTTTCCTCCAAGAAAATATGCGGGCCTCCCCGGTGATTCCATAACCCAAGGACGGAGTTCGCGCGCGGTTGTTCTTCACACCAAACCCCACCAGAGGAATCAAAGTTTCTTATGATGGGAAGTGATATGCGAATTTCGTATGTTGTTGAAAACGCAAATCTTTCTCAATGACAATTACAGAAAGAAAGAGAGAGAAAACTTGATGGAGCGCCAAGAACTAACAGCTTCGTTTTCGATATCGAAGAATGTTTAGAAGGCCATCACCACGTAATACCCGCTTTCTCTGACGCATAGCTAAACAATCGATCACCTTGAGTAAGACAGCCAAGCACCAAATGGAACGCCGACGGCAATAGTTTCCGATGCGCTCATTACAGCTCTACAATACTCCAATGTCTGAAAGTCCCACGTGCCTTCCATGGATGTTGACTACGGACTTGATGATCAATTAAGATGAGGCTTTCTTGATCTGAATGACACTGTCGCATTGAAATGGGTCTGGTAATAATACCAATGTGCGCTCAGCCGACCCGACTCCCGACGCGACTCACGCGAGGGATGGAAAACCCCCACGCCGAGATCGACAAAAATCCGTGCTTATGCTCGCAGCTACGCTCAAGGCCTCGTAGGGCTTGGGTATGTGACGTTTGAGGAAGGTCTGAGATCACAACTCATTTCTTACCCCTGGAGGTGTTTGAAGCTTGGACACATCTTGGGCAGTACAGGAGCTCGGAAAGGAAGTTGAATGTGGATGATTGCTTAGCCCTGCTCTCGAACGCCTAGAGCCGCAATCATGTGAAAGGCATGTTGTCCAAGGCCAGTGACGCAATACTGAACCCGGTCCTCCTGATAACATTCAGGCAAGGGGGGGTTGGAGGTCTTTCAGGTCACAAAACAAGAGCTTTCCACGCTCAATTAAAATTCCATGCGACGTTAATTGATCGAAGGTTCTAACGTCTTCTATTTTGAAATAGCGAGTAGCTACAGCAGCACAATTTGCAATGCCATCCTTTATACATCTTGATTTCGACATCATGGTCATTCATCATCACATGCATTTAACAGACTAAGATCATCGTCAGCAAATATTCCCCTCTCGAAAACACAATCTCAAGGGCTCAACTTACTTCCAATAACACCGTTCACGGGGATATCAATCGACGTCGTATAACTCGCCGCATCGCTCAAAAGGTAAACGTACGCGCCACCAAGCTCCTGCACCTCGGCCAGACGGGGCATACCGCCGTAGTACTTGAGCTGCTGCTCCCAGTCCGGCTGCTGTGGCACCCAGTAGGTCATGGCCGTGTTGACGAGGCCTGGCGAGACGCTGTTGACGCGGATGCCGTACTTTGCCCACTCCATGGCGAGCGTGTGCGCCATATTGCGGACGCCGGCTTTCGAGGCGCCATATGGTGCAGATGGGACGCGCTGCGAATAGGTCACTGGTCAGTATGTGCTCGTCTCTTATCTCTCTAGCTGAGCTGAACATCTCGACGTCATGAAGTGCAGCATACCTTGTTAGGGCGGTAAGATGCCATGGAGGCCGTAAACACCACCGAACCCTTAACGTTCAGCTTGATGAAAGCTCTTGCCGCCGCTCTGGCAGTGTAAAAGGCACCAAATAACTAATTATCCCATTGTCAGCACACACACCCCATTCTCTTTACAAATGTACCTCATCAAACGTACGTTGACACCAAACAACGCCTCAATCTCCTCCTTTGTGAAATCAAGCGCAGCCTTGTGGTTCGTCCGGCCAGCGTTGCAGACAACGCCGTGGATCGCGCCCGCCTCCTCGACAATCTTGTCAATGGCGGCCGTGATGCTCGCCTCGTCGGTGACGTTTGCCGAGATGGAGAAGAGGCGGCCGGGGAACTGCTTGGACGCCGCGGCGAACTCGTCGCCGGGCTCCGCGAGGTCGATAGAGTA